CAAGAATATTATCGCCCGGGCATTGCATATTCTGCGGATACGAGTGAGAAGAACATAACTAGCGAACGAAACACATCCCTCGATTCGAAACTTATGTACAAAACCATTCATCCCCATCACTACGGCCCTCCAAGCTGCCCCTGGCCCCGAGTCCGTTGCTGGCTGATATACCGTCTCCACTGAATCCAAGTGAGCAAGACTGCACTTTCGAAAGAGCAATAGGAAGAAGCAAGTACTGACCATCGGATTGAAGAAGTAGACCGGAATCCCCAAGAGCAGAATGCCACCCACCACCCCCGCCAGAATCCCCATGGCTGCCGGATAACTATACTTGGCCACCATCGGGTTCAAGCCATAGCTGACCCCAAATCCAATGATATTTTTCGTCCCCACGACAGTCACCAACGCCGGACCCGGATTCTTTTCCCATGCCTCGGTGGCAAACGATGTCGTGCGAATGAGTGTCGAGACGAAGGCTACCTGGTAGAGTGTCCAGCCCATGAACGGCCCACCCCAAGTGGCATTGCCACTAGCGGTGAACCCATACAAGATCAACGAGGCTACTGCCAAAAGCCCGGGGAAGATCAATAAGAGAAGATGGTGTTCGGGCTTATGAACACCTCCGGCGCGCCGGGCCAACCAGACAATGACACGGTCGCCCAAGATCCCCGCGTAGAGCATGCCGCCCAGCCCGCCAAATACACCCCCTAAGTTGATGAGGCCAATGTTGGCGGCGCTCCAGTCGTAATTATACTGCAAGACCGTGTCATAGGTAAGAGAGACACCGACGGATCCGCCTAGAATGACAGCGGAGAGAAGTGTGGCATAGATAATGCCGGGAGAGCTGAAGGTCTCCAGCATCTGCCACCAGGTGAGCAGAACGTTGCGTACGGGATGAGGGCAGGGGCGTGGCCAAGCGTTGAGCATCTGGCGGTAGGTCTTCTTGGGAGGCGTGTCGCCACCGAGGTCGGCGTAGAAACGACCCTCATCACTAGCAAGATATTCTTGGGTTTCTGGTACAGTTAGAACTCGAGTCACTCCATATTGGTCGGTAACGACAGCGTGATCGCCCAGAAATATCGGTCGACGTTGGAACCGCGTTTCAAAGCAGGCGAACACCACGAGAACGAGTCCGACGGCAACGGTTATAACAAACACCCAGTAAAACCAGCGCCAGCCTAGCGCTGCCACTTCGTACGAACTGGCTAGCGTCAGGAGACTTGTCACGATATTTTGAGTGGCCCAGTAGATGCCGTAAATCGTGCCGCGCTGGTGGATAAAGGTCACCTCTGCCAACATCAAGGGGAGAAGCTATTGTAGGTTAGATCAGCAACAAAAATAGAAGGACGACTGCCGCACCGATTCGGTCGCTCCTGTCGCGAAACCTAATAAGACACGCAACCCGAAATGCTGGGACCAATTTTGCGACAAGGCACAACCAATCAACGAGCCCAGCAGAACGGTGTTGGCAATGAGCATCACTGGTCGACGCCCACAAACAAGGGCTAGCGGCAGGATTATGTAGTTCCCTGATGTCGGTAAGTTGCTGATGGTAACAGAACTGGGAAAGATACCTTACCAATTCCCACAAACAGTGAAGGAAAAGTGGAGAGCCAGACAACCTGGTTGGTGCTGTGACCTTCTGCGCCATACATCTGAAAGAATACATCCAGGACTGAGCCCAGACCTCCAATGACGGATAGTGACATGATAGCTGGGGGAGTGAGCTTGACGTTCGTAATTGAAGAAAGAAAGACTCACAGAACCAACAGCAGCACACTACGATGCCTGTCTTCTCCCACACCGCAAAGTTCAAGGGGTCATTGGGATCATCACTTGGTACCGGGAGACGCTTAATGCGACCGGCCTCGTCCACCAGAACCTGGTCGGCATGCTCGATGCAGTCGACGGCGATCTTCTTGTCGGCCATGCTGCTAGACACTCATGTTTGAATAACAAGCGGCTGCACCGCATCGTGCTCTGGAGGGCTTTATAAACTCGCAGTTTATGTCCACTCCCCGAGCAGACTAAGCATGATCTGGAGAATGCGGGGGAAGATCTGGGGTATCCTGGACACGAGGCGGCGCCGAGCACATCAGTCCCGAAGGCATTAGATGCCGCCGAGCAGATAGTGTCCCATCGCTGGCATCGTTCGGCGGAACACTCCACACGAAGAGGTCCCGTCTCGGTCCCGTCTCAGGGTGTGGAGCAGATAAATATAATTTGAGACCCACTGCCAGAGCTGTATGCCAGCCTGCCATGATCAGTGAAGATTTGGGTGGTGTAATGGTTCAAGAGTTGAGGAGTGATTCGGGGCTGGGCCGCCACGCTCGGACCCTCGGGGCGCCCCGAGAGCTCTAGAATGGCCGAGGCAGATAAGGACACATTCATCTGTCATGCCTACACGGGACGAATACAAATCGAAGGTTCTGTTTCTTGGAGTTCATGAAGCAGCAAGTCCTATATACTTCAAATATTGTTATGCTGGTCTGCTGTCCTGCACATTAAATATCTCTCCCCATCGTATCCATTCCCATCACTCAAGCTGTCCGGAATTAATTTACTCCTCGGGCACAAGCAACCGATCGATATCAGGACCTACTCGGAAGATATTAATTAGCGACATCTACGCCCATCTTCTACGCGACGAGACATACCGTATTCCTCCTCATAGGCGCTGAAGGTGATGACATTGTCATCGCCGCTCTCTAGTTGGGCGTTCAGCACCGAAGTGGCCGGCGTGTTTCCATTGTCGGACGGCAGGAATGCCAAAATCTGCGACTTTCCGTTCACTGTGACGGTGGCATAGCGCTGGGTAGAATCCCCGTTCTCATACCGCACCTGGATGGTGGTTGTGGTCGACGCGTCACTGGAGATGTTACGCATCTCGAGAGTCCCATTGTCGGACCCTCCAATCCAGCCAACAGACTCGTCGCCCGAGCAGCCGCTGCATGAGATCACCTTCGCTCCGTTGGACAGGACGTTGGTGGATGCTTCAGCTTCGGGGTCGGTTTCGTCGCCCCGGGACGACCAGGTGTCGTCTGTGGAGGGGATCCAGTTGGAGCTATCAATCTGTCGGTCGCTGTTAGTGGGGAGATCAATAGTTCGTTTCGCATGAGGATCTGACCAAGGTCGCGTTGGTTCCACTCAATGTCAAGGGTAGCCAAATGTATGTCGAAGCCATCAGGTTCGATGATACCCAGCGGTCACCCATGTACCTGTCATCGTCAGCACAAGAGTATACTCACTTCTCCAGCCATGCTTACATCACGCTCTTCCCAACCTGCATCACAAAGGTGGTCTGGGAGTCATAGGTGTCCGTCCCCGCCGTTGCAAAGTCACTCCAATCACTCCATGTGCCATTGAGGTCTGTGGAAGTGGTGTACTTGTTATCATTGGCAGCTAAATTAGATGTCAGTAGTCACACAGGCTACGATTATTTCCGAATCTCCACGTACACCATCCTAAAAATTGTCAGTGAGGCATTCAATAAGGGGAAGCTCGAAATATCTAACCAGTCAATTGCGATCCGAACATGAAATAGACCCCATCCTGCTTATAGATGGCCGGTGCCTCGTAATGCTCCGGGAACAGGTGAGTAGTGTAAGTTACATTGAGGTAGTCGTCAGTCAATCGGTCAATCCGCAAGCCGTTCGGACGCTGTGAGGTTAGCTTATTAATGCCCATCGAAATATCTGGTGTTCGGCTTACATCCTCAGAAAGCAAATAGGCCGTTCCATTGTCATCTTTGTACAGACCGATATCGCGCGACTGATGGCCGAGCGGCTGGAACGAACCACTAGATCCCGATGAGAGTATGTCTCCCGTGGTACGACAAAGGGCCGATTACTCACAGATAATCGTACTGTCCGCAGACGCTTGAGGAGGTGGCTACCCCCGTTTTTGCCTCGCCATAGGAGCTATCGTCGATGTGCATCCACATCACATACGTGGAGGTGTCATCGTTGTAGATGATCTTGGGCCGCTCCACAACGCGGTCGGGGCCAAGGTCTCCACTGCTCTGCAAGGAGAGCAATTCACCCTCAAACGTCCACTCGACCAAGTTCTAGAAAGCATCGTCAGCCACGTGTGCATGGTACGAGTTACCTGATCGGAGATGACGCACTGTGCTGGAATAGCAGTTGATGGACTGGAACGCGCTTCCGTTCAGGTGGTTCTCCCCGGCCCAGTAGTATGTGCCGTCCACTTCAATGATGCCTGAAACCCACAGAATCAGAGATGTCCGATCGGATATTTTGGGTCTATATCTGGAGATTATGAAGCACCTACCACCTCCATGAGCTTGAATATGTTGATTTGTCCCCGAGGCAGTCCATGTCGCTCCCGGAACCTGCCCCTGTTAGTTCTCAGTGGTCTCTTTAACTACAGCAGGACAGGCACAAACAATCTGTAACGATGCAGTCGCAACATTGGCGATTGCCACGGAAGTAAGAAGGACATGCGCCAACATGATGCTAAGACTCGATATCAGGCAAGAAGCAGTATATAGACATGAAAAGGTATCGCATCCCCAGGGGCAAGCAGGTCAGGAAGTGACTAGTAATATGTACATGATGCGAATGAGGGGATAGAGTGGATCGGGTGATTGGGGGAGAAATCCCCTGCCCGATATTATATTGCTGACGGTGCCACCTCAACCGTGTCTCATATTTCTTCAGGGATCCTGGCTGGCTTTGCTGCAGGATCTGCATTCTTTTTGGGATTTGCTCCGGTGGAGGTTGAAACCCCGCCCGTGAGTCCGATGATCTTTTCCGAGTCCGATTCTTTCCCACCAGCTGCAAGGAACAGGCCACTTCTCCATCCACTCTACTGTTGACCTTAAAGATCCCTCTCTCAATCCTGCTCGCGGTTCTATTAATGCCATTCGCAAGCCCTGAACCCCACTAATGTGACTGTCAACGGAGTACAATCATTGACAGCCCAAACAAGTCCACTTTTAGGGTGACATTGTTCACCCTACTTCCCCAATTGTTTCCAATCTACATCTGCGGAATTGGGAAGATCATACTGGCGAGCTCGGTGATTTCCTCAACACCAAGACTTTTGAGGCTTTCAAGAATCTCGTCGATCATGGTAGAGGGAAGTCCTTCCTTATTGCGAGAGTAAATGTCAATGCCGGCCGGAGTGAAGATAGTTTTGGCAAAGTAGGTGACCATCCATTGATTGTCTTCTTCCAGTGCCTGGCCAAAGCCGAGGCATTCCCAGTGCGAGCTCGCGATCATCAGCCAACCCCTGCCGCGCCAGTCCCAGGCCCCTTGGTTCCCCGGAGTTGAGGTGTCCACGCCATGAACCGACTTGATCTTCTCCGACCCAATGACTTGATATTGTACCAGGTCGTCAATCCTCACCATTCCAGAGGAATCCGGCGGAAGCAACTGATAAGTGATGTTGACATTGCACTTGCCCTTCCAAAGCGGCAGACTGGAGTGTGTGACATGCCAGGTGCCAAGCAGGAAGTCATTGGTCGGAGGCACACACTTACGACCCCGATTTGCATAGATTTTAGGGAGTCCGATAATGAGGGAAGAAGCCATGGTTGGGCTCAGTGTCGCGTGGGGTTCGCGATCATGAGATGATGGGACAGGATGGGAAAGGAAAAAGGGGGGCTGGGCTGATCGATGAGGCAAATCCCAATCCATCATCCCGCAGATTGCTTACTTAACCATACAGCATGCTATTTATCAGTTACTGTATGATATTCTTAGAATTTCACCTCTTGCAGTCCAATGAATCAGCTACTCAACTCAAGTTACCACTCTGGCGCAACGGGATTTATACAACCATGTGGATTCAATATCCAAGACATTGTCACGGCCACTGCATGCAATAACTTCCCACATGAACATGCCCTTCATGATGCCCAGAATCAACGCTTCAAGTAGAATTTATCCCGCCAGCTGCGCAGCTGTTGCCGGCGTTACCGACCCTCCACCAGTCAGCTCCTTGGTCGTCCCATTTAACCATCGGTTTGCAGATGCACTCGAGTCGTAATACAAGGTGTATCCAGCACTGTACACATTGCTCAACGTCCGGTCCGAGTCAGTGAAATTGTTGAGCACCGTGTCATTGGTCAACGTCCATGTGGATGTCACATCCAGTGAGACAGCAAAGGTCGAAGTGCCATAGCCCGAGTATGCTGTACCTGTCCACGAGGAGTAGTCCGTTAGCGACCAGCTGATACTGCTGCCATTGTACGCCACAAGGTCTCCCTCCAGATCGGATTCGGATATTGTGACAGTTGCTTCAGCGGCGGCTGTAGAATCCGCGAAATAGCTAAAATCCTGTGTAACCTGAGAGTAATTGGCGACGACCAAGATGCCCGACGTGGTGTTGATGGACGTACTTGTCAAATGAGAGCTGGCGATAACATTGCCGAACCAAAGCGCTGCCGCCGCCTCAGGGAGAACCGTCAGACGAGAGTTGGTGAAGTTGATCTCCGAGCCAGACCCCCGTGTCCCAGATGAGAAGACCACTGCTCCCGCCAGCAGGCCTGCAGTAAGATCGGAATCGTAGATGTCAATCTGGGCGGTATCTAAGAAGGCAACGGGAGCCCGCTCGGCATACCCCACGATTTTCTCAGCATAGACGGTGCCCTGACCGTAGATGATGGCGCTCCCAATACCCGCCGTATGCGCGACGGAGTCGTACACATACACGTAGCCCTGGGGGCTGTCCCCAGCGAATGACGAAGATCGATAAGCCCCGGAGTAGTGTTCTAGATTTCGGCCTACAATGGTACCGTAGCCTGCTGCATACAGGCCATGCGAGACTGGTCCAGAGCTGTACAGGCTCGAGTCTGAGATGGAGACATAGGTATTGTTTCCATAGGAATAGATATTGGCTGCCCCGTTGTGCACTGTCACGTTAACGTGGTCAAAATTTGCCACGGACTCGTTGGCCACATTAACGGCTGCGTTCAGGCCAAAGAAACTGGACTGGTAGAGATCACTGGAGTACCCGTGCTTAACAATGGTGGAGTAGGAGACATTCACGTCTGATCCTTCGGTGATAACGAGGACACTGGTGTCATTGGCAGAGACGGCAAGCGTTGCATGCTCGATAGTACCACTTTTATCAGAGTATTCATAAGCCCCCACGATAGCATTGACTTGATAGGTGGTCGGGGTGTAGTCCCAATTCGCCGTCAATGCATCATCAGCTGCATCGGCGGTGAGAACAGCAAAGTCGCTGGAATCGTGGAGGGTGACCGTTGCCGTGCCGAGAGCAGCAAGGAGAAGAAGAGATAGCATTTCGAGTGCAAATGTACTAACTGGAATGGAGAGTGATACGCTGGATCGACTATCCCACGAGGGGGCGTACCAAGTTTATTATAGGAACTGCCAGACAGCTGCTGCCAATAACTTCAAGTTCAAACCCCAGCCTTGCAAGCACTTTTCGCACGGCTTATAAAGAGGGCTGCCGCGTCATCCCTCCATTAAAAGCACCATGATTGGTTATCGTTGATCGGGTTTGTGAAAAGAGTCTCGAGTATGGGTACAGACAGGGCCGCGTCTCCATTGTCGGCTCCACATCCCAATCACTTTAATCAAGCTTAATATCTCGGTAGCCGACCTTGATCTGAACAATAGGAGTAGTGATAGATTTATATGACCTAAATCTTGCGCATGAGTTACGACCACCCAAATTGATATGACAAGCATAACCCAGAAAGTCTCACGTATTGGGGACGTGTAAAGACGTCTTCATTAAACACCTTGAGGAGAGAAAAGAAAATGTTGGATTTCATTCACAAATGTACTGCCGTGGGGCCGAAGGAAATATTGGTCATGTAGAGCCAATTCAGGAATTTGTACCCCAGATACCGATGGCTTAAGAGGAAGTACTGCAAGGTAGCTAACAGAGCCATACTAGCAGGCGCTGGGGTCCTTGAACCAACGTTAAGCAAGCAGGAAAGTGTATCAACCACATCCACTTCTCCGCATTATTCCCCCACATCTTCAAAGTGGGCACTTCCACAGGGTCCTTCATTTGATGCAGCACACGTGGATAGTGCAAGTAATTCCACGATTACCTGGGGGAGGAACCCGAAGCACATGGATGGACCACGTCCCGACTTGATGTTGCGTCTGCCAAACAAAGGGGATATTGCACGCAGAACGCCTATATAAGCCACCATCGCAGGTCTCAAGAGCATGACTGGCAGTCTGTGGAGCAGTCTGTCGTTCGAAACCCACCAGTCCAGAATCTGCATCCTGTCTTCTTTTACCCTTATCATGCCTCGTCAGCCGTGGAATATCCTCATAGTAGGAAGCCTGCATCTGCTGCCAGTCTTAAATGCTGCGGCTACCTCATCTACCAGTTCTCTGCCTACCACCGCTGCCTACTATGTCAGTGGAAGCACCAAGACGTTTGCTGATACGACTCTAACCGCCACCGGAACCGATGAAGCGGTGATCATTGTCAAAGAGACAGGAGTTGCTATTTTGTCTGACGTAACACTGATCAAGACCGGCAACACGACCAGCAGTGATGACAGCTCCTTCACGGATCTTAATGCCGCAGTCGGTCTGGAGACCAATGGCACGGTATATATCACCGACAGCAACATCACCACCAACGGCTTGAGTGCTAATGGACTACACACCTATGAAGACGGCACCACTGCCTACCTCTCCAACGTGTATATTCACGCAGAGGGAGATGGTTCACATGGCATCTACACCGCCGGTGGAGCCATCTACGGCGAGAACCTTGAGATTTATACGTATGATGGCCATGGCAGTGCCATCGCCACTGACCAAGGCGGCGGCCTCATCATGGTAGAAAATTCGGCTGCGTACACCTACGGTGCGCTCTCAGCATTGGTATACTCCACGGGAAATATTACGGTTCGTTCCCTTACTGGCACATCAGCCATTGCCCCTGTAGCATGCATTGATGGAGCAAACTCGTTTACCTTGATCGACTGTGATGTTTCCTCCGGAACGCAGAACAATGGTGTGTTTCAAGTCGTGAGTACGGTATCGAGCAGCACAACGGAAACCGCCTATGCCTATGTGAACGGTGGCACCGTGTCCGAGACCAATGGCACCTATGCCTTGCTCTTTGTGGCTAACATCGAGGCCTATGTGTACCTGACCGATGTGGCCATCTCCATCAGGTCCGGGATTCTAGCCAATATCACTGCTGACAGTGATTGGGGTACAACGGGAGAGAACGGCGGCACTGCCAATGTATATCTCTCGGGGATTGATGTCACCGGCGACATCTACGTGGACGACATCAGCGCGATCAATCTGTACCTGATCGGGTCAAGTTGGACAGGCGCGCTGAATGAGGCGAACACGACGGGATCTGCATCTGTGTATCTGGATCGCAGTAGTACTTGGACACTGACAGGGGATTCGAAAGTCGAAAGTATCAGCCGGGCGATCGGGTCCAGCATCTTTACTGGTCAATATCGAGTGACCGAGGGTGCTTAGGGGGAGTAATACCGCTGAAGAGCGGCGGTGCTGTGGCAGGAAGCCCCAATGTAATCAGTTTGAAGGGGAGTAGCGTTAAAAGCTCTGGAAGTAATGATATCCGGTGGTTATTATCTCCGGACTGTGGGCTGCATCCCTTGGGTCTGGGTTCGGAAGGCATTCGCCGATTCAAGGTCCGACCGGCCCGCAATATCCGACGGAGTAACATTATTAAGTTAATTCTTGCTGTCTTCCCCGCACGAGAGGGCATTTAGACTTTCTGCAAATACCATCTGCAGCTCTCCTTCTTCCTCATCACGACTTAATTGCCTTGATCTCTTGATTTTCTTTCATCAAGCCCGATATCCGATATGCCGCAGAAGCTCACGGTCGCGGTGGCGCAAGCCAGCACCCAGTCCACTCTAGCAGCCACCTTGGCGGCACTGGAGCGAGTGACTCGTCATGCTGCAGCCCGCGGAGTGCACTTGATTCTCTTCCCGGAGGCGTATTTGGGAGGCTATCCCCGGACCTGCGACTTTGGCACAGCGGTTGGCGCCCGTGGCGCTCATGGTCGCGACCAATTCCTCGAATACTTCCATGCCGCGGTCGACTTGGGCGACACCCCAACCGGAGCGGGAGACGACTGGGTGAACCGGAGATTGCCCCTTCCACGAGGCAAGGAATATCGCGGGGATGGCACCCGAGAGGCACTGGAGAAGATCTCCCGCGAAACGGGCGTGTTCATTGTGTGTGGCGTCATCGAGCGCGCCGGGGGTAGCCTGTATTGTTCTGCCATCTATGTCGACCCGCGCGATGGCGCCTTGGGCAAGCGGCGGAAAGTAATGCCAGTGAGTGAAGGCAACTTGTTTTCAAAAGAATATATTGATCATGCTAATCTGAGACTGATAGACGGCCTCGGAGCGTCTGATCTGGGCTCAAGGATCGCCTTCTACCCTCAAGGCTGTCACCACCGAACTCAATGGGGTTCCGCTGACCATCGGAGCAGCGATCTGCTGGGAGAATTACATGCCGATGCTTCGACAGAGCCTGTACTCCCAAAATGTCAACCTCTATCTGGCCCCGACAGCCGATGCCCGCGATACCTGGCTGCCGTTGATGCGCACAGTGGCTGGAGAAGGCCGTACGTTCGTTCTATCTGCCAACCAATGTGTGCGACGCCGGGAACTGCCCGGGTGGATCACAGCTAACTCCCAGGACAAATACGATGGCGATGAATATGTATGTCGGGGCGGCTCCTGCATTGTCGGACCCTTAGGAGAAGTTTTGAGTGAGCCCATCTGGGAAGTCAGCACGGACGATGTGACAGACGCCAATGATCCCAATGATCCAGCCATGGCAGCCGCGCTGTCAATCACAGAGATCGATGTGGGGGATTGTGAGCGCGGCCGGCTGGATCTGGACGTGGCAGGCAGTTACTCACGCAATGATTCCTTCAAGCTGACCGTAGATGGGCTGGACCTGAACCCCCCACCAGTATAAGTTGTCGGTGACTCTAGCGAGCTTGATGTATATACCATACCACAGAAATGTAATAATTTGTAGAAGATATTGTTCAGTTGAAGTGTGGATGCATCTGCAGCGGAGCAGGCGAAGAGAGAGAGCCAATGCCATTGTGATATATGAGTAGGCTCACTACCATCAAGTAGGACACACGTCTGGATAGATTGCAGTCAATTCTCCTTTGATCTTTTCGATTCACTATTCCAGATAATTTCCTAAATAGGCAACCCGGCTCCATCGCCTCAGACGAAACAATTAGTCAGCAATTACATCAGCTGCAGCTAACCCGTTCTGGGACATTTGCCTGGCGTCATGTTTTTGATTGAATGATTGACTGAAGGATTGATCAGGACTGGTGATATGTAGTAACTCTTGAAGACACGGGTGGATACCTTTTCTAGCACATTAGAATGACCCCTAGTCCGGCGCCTTCACCTCGACTGGCCTGCCGACGCTGCCGGATTCGCAAACAGAAAGCAAGTCCCCTATCATTGCCAATCGAATCACATTCGCTAATGCAAGGGCGGCTATATAGTGCAGCCAGCCTCGACCATGCACCAATTGTGTGCAGGCACAAGCAGGTAAAGCTGTCTTGATCGTGCTGCTCTCGTTGATGTTCTCTTCTAACTGACATGAATCAGCCTGTGTCCCCAGTCAACGGCCCGCTAGGAAGAGTCGTGTCAATCCAGAGTAAGCTGATCTCGAACCAGGCTAATGGCCAGGCAGCATGCTTCTGACCACAATAGGTATGCTCGTGCTCTGGAGGAACGGATAATTGAGCTTGAGTCTCAACAACGCGGTCCGCTTCATCATGCTGTTGGTCTGGGCACCACCCCAGGCCTAAAAAGTAGGGCAGACGTGCAACCGTCAGATTCACCTGAACCGCCACGAACACGAATGACTCGAGCCCTGACCGCAGAAGATGCAACTTCCCCAGCATGTCGCCTCTCATCCCATATCCCGGGAGATGCTGAAAGCACGCAAGCTGGAAGTACCCCTTCCGTTACTATCCTTCCCCCCTTTGTCCAAGGCTCTCCTCATCCAGGGTTCCTTCCCGGGTCCAACTATGAGATGGAAATCCCTTCACAGACCCAGGATGAGTTGATCCAGACATTTCTTCAGCGGGTGAACCCGCGTTATCCCTTCCTCCACGAAGGAACCTTCATTGCCTGGTATGAATCGTGGAAAGAATCTAGGAACTTAGGTGTGCCCCTGCCGCCGCAAGATCAATGGAAGGCATTCTTCATCAAGATGGTGGGTTATTCGCGATTCGCCTGCAGCGCATACTGACAGCTAGCGACAGGCACTTGCGGTCAGCCTTCTGATTGCACCTCGAGTATCACCCCGGGACATGAAAGTTTCTCAGGTAGGAGGCCCGTGAAGTCGTGATGTGCCCCCGCTGAAGATCACAGGCTCTGTATTCCTCCGCTACATTATCTCTGGATGCTGTGTTCGCTTGTCTTGACCCGGTATTGCATGCACAGGCCTACCTACTGTGCACACTGCATGCACTCCACTCGCCTTCTTCGCAAACGGTCTTGACCATGATCGCTGCAGCCGTGCGTTGCTGCGTGGTGGCACAGTTGCATTTGTCAGAAGTAGAACACCGGCCACAAAAACTACTCTGGGAAAGGCAGATTCGCCGCCGTGTGTTCTGGTCTGCTTACGCAATTGATCGCTTGGTCAGTTGGGTTTATCATGTCCCGTGCACTCTCGTAGATGAAGACATTCAAGTTGAGGTGAGATCTCTCTAGTAGCATAACAAAATGGTGGATCTGACTTGAGTAAAACAGCCTTTTGCAAACATGAACGACCACGAGATCAAAGAATGGCAGGTCCGGGCTGATCGGCTGGAGCCGGATGCATCCACCCCGCGCAGGACTCAAGTCTCGTCTGCTCTTCATCTAATCCGCGGTCGGAGAATCCAGTCTCGCATCCTGAGCATTATGATGCGAGCAGACTATGACCAGCGACTTGCCGAATCTCATCAGTGGCGTCTTCATATGCTCGAGGTGCTCGATGAGTGGAAAGCGCAGCTGGAACCCCATAGCGACCCGCTCTCTAAGGGCTACACCAGCGAGGGATGGGTGGGCATGCTGTACAACTATACAGTGCTTCTCCTTTATCGACCGACAAAAGCGAATATGACTGACTTGGTCATGGAGCATTGTATTGGAGCCTGTACCGACATTGCACTGACATTCTGGAAGTACCTCAAGAGCCGTCAAACGGCTCAACTATGGCCAGGGGTGAGTAGCTGTCCCCATCACCGTCTCCCAGGATAGCAACTGAAACTCTTGTAGCTCCTTAGCCAGTTTGGGATAGGCATCACTCTGTTATACTGCCTATGGGTGGTGCCGCCATCGCAACGATCCATCGAGGCTCAGTCATCAAACATTGGCCCAGCCATTCGAACATGCTCAGTGATTCTGGCAGTACTGTCCGAGCGGTGGACTGAAGCTGAACCCTTGCGTGACATTTTTGATCTCCTGGCGGACTCCATTCCGATCTATCGGTCTCATGATGGAGAAGAAAGCCGCATTTCGACGTCTTCGTCAAAGACAATTCAGGAATATTTGCCCCGAGTGACGGCCATCGTCATCAACAAAGACATCATGCGCATGCTTCTTGAGATGGCCACTGAGGATTATCCGTGGGCTGCAGGTGGGACAGTGAATGTGGGTGACTGGTCGTCTAATGATGTGCACAGCGCCCAAGATTGCCCTCTATGCTTGGGAACCCGAGCAGACCGAGCGGACTTGCCTTCGGTCGGCTTTGACGCAGCGAACCTGTGGCCAGGCTTTGATAATGATACGGAACACTCCTTGACAACTTTGTCTGGGGAATACTCGCTATTCCCGGGATTGCTGGGCTCGATCGAGTTTTGATCCTTCGATCCTTCAGCTGATGCACTGGTTAGTTATGCAGCCTGATTACTAACTGACCTGCATAACATGACAGTTACTTTAGGGCCCCTTTTAGATTCCCGCTACTTTCACTATTTGAACTGTTCTGGCTTGCTATCCTAATCAATCTGGTCCACCCTCCACCAATGAAACTGTCTCCTCCGGCAGAGGACGATTTCGTCTTCGTAAATGTCTCGCGTCCCGACGAATTCAAGGCTGCGTCAACACAGCGCACCATCCGGCGCCATGTCATGCGCGACATTGGGAGATCGCGTCGTCGCACCCGCCCGGGGCAACGAACTTGGTCCGTCACCCTACGAGCCCCTTCAGATCCAGTCACAGAGCACATCCCAGTGTCGATTGACCCATGCAATACGACGTTTTATCCCGGCCCTATGAGCGACCGAGCGCTACAGCTCATGCACTTCAGTATGTCCCTGCAAATACCAGCGCCTCCTCGAGCTTACCTATCTAACCCGCGTAGTGACTACGGACCGCGACTACGTGTTTCGTCCCTTTCGGACGGTATGGTTCTCCATGGCATTAACTGACGCCACTGCCGTCCTTGTGGCCTTGGCCAATGCTGCCATGTTTCTCGATCAACGTCTGCGGGCCCAGACGTACAGGTACGAGACTAGTGCAGAGTGTCTGAGTTACTACGGCCAGTGCGTTCGGCAAGTCACGCACCGGCTGGCAGATACCCATGAAAGTCTCAGCCAAGGGGTTATCACGGCTATATTAGGTCTGACCTGTCACGATGTTTGTCAACCGCCGCACTTTATCAATGGATACTTGTTAACTCAGCAGATAGCTTTATGTTGGCACGCTAGATCGCTGGAAAATTCATATTAGTGGCCTGGGACGTATCATCCACTTGAGGGGTGGATACCGGGGCCTAGATGACAGTATCACGCGCTTCGCTATATGGTAACCTTTTCAAATCCTGTCGTTAGTTTATCGATCTATGAGCTAACTGCTCGCCATCAGGCTCGACGTTGCGGGTAGCGTGATGGATGACTCCCGCCCACGGTTGCCTACTCCGCCGGGATTTGCATCCCAAGTCCCCAAATTTCTGTCTTCCACTCAGAGAAAACTTCTAGGGGACCTTATTGCAAAACATGATTACTACAGCGACATCGCGACTGCCTTCTGTTATGCGAACTTCCTTGTTCAATACACGGACGGGTCCCTTTTTCGTTCCGAGACAGCCTGGCTAAACGAGGATAACCTCACTGTAATTGAACTGTTTGGGCCAGCCACACATTTCCTACTTTCCATGTCGAGGCCGACCGAGATAAATTCTAGCGCAACAGACATCCCACTTCTACAGCTACGCGAAGCACTCCGGCTGGTGCTATTACTATTCCTTGGCACGTTGAAGCAAGCAGTCTTCCTCTTTACCGCCCACGAATGCGAATATCTGTGGTGCAAGTTGTCGACGCTCATTTCACAGATTGAGAAGGCCAACTATGACGACTCTTGTCTGAAACTGTATCTATGGGTTCTCGTCACAATGTCTCGATTCTCTCGTTCTATCCAGTCATCGATGTACCTTGACGATATCAGTGCTGTTCTGAACCTCCTAGGCATGGGTAGGAAGGAAGGCCTAGATCTGGTCCAAAGTATTCTGTCCATTGACATTCTGGATGGCTATCTACATTTTCTCCCATCGCTAGAGACCTCAGGTTCATAGCCATAACCATCGCACTTCTAGCCACCTACAATTCCACCACTGACGGAAATGACCTGTCCGGAGATCCAGCGACTCTTTTCTGAGCACAACAACAGTACTGCATCCGCAATATCCTGCACAGTTCCCAGTCGCTCCTCGACTCGGCTCATGGGCACCAATGTCTTGTTGATCTTTTCTGCCACCTGCGGCGGCAGACCATCTGTATCCACGGGACCTGGGGAAACTGTGTTGATGGTTATGCCACCGTGATTGCGACCAAGCTATGCATCAATTAGTACATTTCTTATGTGAGATCTCAACCACGGTTTCAGCTTACCTCCATCGCAAGGGAGAACGTCAGCGCATCCATCGCCGCCTTTGAAGCACTATAGACTGGCGAT